ACTTCTATCAATCGAAAGGACACTGCGACCACACCAGAGGCCACAACATCTTGGTCTTCATATATTCAATCAGTTTATGGTCATTAAGGTTTAACGACTCAACACCTGGGATTGTGTAATATCCTGCATCTGTTTTGTATCTGAGCTTAATAGATCTGTTGAGCGAGCTTGAGTGTGGTTAGAACCATCACTGAACTTACAAGTTGGGTCGCTTTTTTTGGAAGGCAGCTCAAACTCATATTTTAATCAAGCATAAGTTGTTATTGTGTTGTTTCGACCACGTTTTCGCAACTTGGTCGGAGAATCAGGGAGACCTTGTGTAACGTATGTAGTCATGTGTCCTCTGCCACAGTATTCGTGATGTCCAGCATCGGACGATTGACTTGCTGCATTCCCACACTTTTAATTTTCCGATGCTGGATATCACGAATGCTATGGCAGGGGACACAGAACTAGGTATATTCTACAAGGCCTATCTGACGCTCCAACCAAGTTGCGAAAAGGAGGTCGAACCATCACTATAAAGCTAAAGGAGACTGCGACCAAACAAAAGGCCACACCATCTTGGTCTTCATATAAACGATAACTAGTTATTCCTCAACTTTATACCTCCATTCGTTACATTAAATGTTGTCCCTTATCTATTGCTTCCAATGACAACCATTATCAGTAAACTAATGCGTTTGAAACCATTCTTCTTCGTGCCCAGTCTATACCTTGTTTTTCCCCATTTTTTACAGTTGAACTCAGCTACATTTACATGTATTTTTGTGTTCCGCTGATAGTTAGCTATGAGGTCTGCTGGTCTCACCAACAGAATGGTCGACTGTAGGAGTACACAATCTCGTAACAGCCGGATCTTGATAATGGGCCATATTTCTCTGTAAAAAAAGCCATAAAGAAAGATTGTCATGGCTTCTTTGAAAATTATGTAGAAAAACTGAGTTTAAAAGAATCAATTAATAGATTGATGTTGAAAATTCTTTAATTTCGTTTAAAGATGCGAATAGCAGGGACTCATAGGTTGGCCTCAGCAGAAGCTGTGATCGTAGATTTGTGCGAATAGGTTTTCGGAGCACCGACCTGTGACCTCGATGAATCCTTGCTGAGCTTTCGTCTGTTATGTGAGAGACATCGTTATAGCAGTATAACATGTTTTATGATAATTCACCAAGCACAAAGGGAAGAAAGGTTGCCGGTTGTAATCCTTCCTACTTGTCATAATTTGGCTGGTGTGAAATCTCATGATTGGGCTGGTGATCTTATGCTTTTGCTAGATGTTGAAAATTGAAATAGCTGAAATTGAGGCGTGAAATGGATGTAATTATGACCAAACAGCTTCATCCTCCCCTACAATACTTTTATTTTCTTTGATCATGCAATGGTGCCGCTTGTGATTGTGTTCTGTCGCATGCGTGTTGTTGCGTGCAATGCTCTGATACGCATGAACCTTGAGAGTGAAAAGCAGATTTGAGACTAATCAAGCCTCCTTTGCTTGCTCGGCGGTACTTCTTGCTCCCTTTCTCTAATCCTTCCAACAGTCACAAGTAGTTTCGACTTGATTTCCAAGACGTCTGGGAATGTAACAAGTCCACGGTCCTACTGGAGATTATCATGCATACTATGAACTCCGGACAAGGTGCGTTCTTCTAGGTCTTCCTGTTCATATGATCAAGTTACAAAAACAAAGTCAAAAAACTACTATACATCTAAAGGAGACTGTGACCAAAATAGAGACCACCGCATCTTGGTCGTGGTATCTACATTCTACTTTTCCCGTTCTCAGTTTGTCACACAATGCTGCAGGCAACGCCTGAGTCTAGAATTAAGGGTTTCTTTAGAGTCCCTTCTTATTACCTAGCATGTAATAATGTTACCCAAAGCCTGCATAATTTTTTATACATAGCTCAACCTAGCCATTACAACCACTAATCCTCCTTTGTCTGCCCTCAACACCATTTGCTCCTCATCACTTAGTTTCCTTAAGATGTTTTTCACCCTCTTATTCCTGGGTGTTATCTCTACATAGATATCAGTTAAGCAAACGACCTGTAATTCAATATCACTCCTAGTCTCTTCTGGAAGATAGTCGGTAAAAGTTATGAATTCCACCAGTATCTCCTCCCTATTATCCTCACTCTTTGGTAAAGCAGGCAACCTTTTTTGTCATGGTATTTTGGAGAATAATCGTTAAGCGCGATATCCTGCTCTGACGATGTCCGTCAAATGATGGATGAAATCTCTGCAAGGATTCATCGGGGTCACTGGACTGTACGTCGAAGACCTATTCGCACAAATCTACCGTCAAAACCCCAAGACGATTCTCTTACAGCCTCTGTTGAGGTCAATTTATGAATCCCTTCCACTCGCCTCTTCAAACGAAATGATAGGTACTTCAACAGCAATTAATTTCTTTGAAAGCTGTTTTTATCTTCTTTCTTATTGGCTCTTTTATTATCTTAGTAAGGTGGCATGATGGCAAAATTATGACATGAGAAGAGGTATCAGCTTGTTTAACTTTGACTAATTAGTCCTCGTCCGAAAGTTTATTTCTTATTACAGAGATATTATTATCAATTGAATCTAAAGGATAATTATTTCCTAGGAATAAATGTTTAACCCGTTCCACTCCTTCAGTCAAACGAATTCTATCAGCTATCCTAATAATCATTGGTTCTAAAATTCTAGCCTTAGTCTTGTAACTAAGATTAGCAAGAAAGCTCAGAAAAGAATCAACCTCTGTTGTCTCTTAGAAAGCTCTCTTCCTAATTGGAAATTTCACTAATTACCAGAACATTCAGAACTTATTTTCTTCTAATTCATTTGTGAACTTAATATTTGTTTTCATTCTGATAAGGAAAATTATGAAATTATCTAATCTTTCTTTACTAGTCTGGCAGGTGACAGCATATTCATTTACGGTAAGCGCTCCTTAAAGTTTGCTATGCAATTATTCGCCAAACTGGTAACTAAGCCAGATCCCATCGAGGGTCATTAGTCCATTAATAACAATTACCGTCAAAGATAAAATAAGTCATACTAATGGGTAGGTTAATAAATCTTAAGCTGGAGGCTGTAATCAATCTTATTCCTTCTGTAATCTCTGGGTGTGGAATAGAGCCTAACTGGCTTCCTGAATAGTAATAAAAGTAAAAATGGAAAAAATTATGGATTATAAATTATCTGCTAATCAACTAATTATACAAACTCTTGAAAATTTTTAACAGGATATCGCCAAACATGCAGTTTTCCCTAAGTATATGCATAAAATACGTAATTTAATGCATCACTATTTCTTTACAATTGGTTCAAGGCTATCTCCCTTATGCGCCCTGTGTTGTAAAACCTTAGTAAAACTATACTGACGGATCATTATGGGTGGTTTCTTAACCCAACTCATCATCTCAAGTAAAGTTACGAACGGGTTTAGATAATCTAGGTCATGCTTTTCCTTGGGTCATTAAGCCATAATGGTCCGGGCCTGACGTTGAGCTTTTGTAATTACTCTCAGTTAGGACTAGTATTGCGTAGAGACATTAACACACGCCCACACGCCCGCACGCACTCACAGAGGGCCACAATCAGGTATTCGTATCCTGATTAATAGAAAAGAGAACTAGCCAACTCATTCCATATCTATCTATTTATGTCGTTTTCGTTTTTAGTTGAGTATATATAGCATGAGGTTCTGGATCTGGCTTGATTTGGAACCGCTAGTGTGAAGATGGCTCGCTTTCATTCTCCACTACTAAATCGCGTAAAGCACACTCTTGTCTCTAAAATTAACAGCCTCCTAATCCTAAGTTTCTAGACAGCTGTGAATGTGTACGTTGATTGATAAGCTCCATAATCAGGCATATGTACATTCTCCGCTCACTACACCCATCTACACTATAACTCCTACTGACAAAGGGCAATCAATAAAAGGCGATTGCAGTTAGTCAAACCTGGAATCAGCCTGAACAGTTACCGGTGAGGGTTCACCTGTGAGATAGGAAATTAAAGACCATAAACATTAAATATGGCCCAGATGTTGTGGCCTCTGGTATGGTGGCAGTCTCCTTTCGATTTATAGAAGTGGGTTGACCTCGTCGCAAATTGGTCTTGTTGTCACGGTGACTAGGTATAACGTATCTAGTCCGAGTCGTCTGCCATACTAGTTGTCTGTAGCATCTGACCGTGGACTTGATACATTCTCAGACGTTTCGCCGGCCTCGTAGTCGGCATCATCGTCTTGATTCCCAGCATCTGACAGTGGACTTGATACATTCTCAAACGTTTCGCCGGCATCGTAGTCGGCAACTCCTAGCATCTGACCGTAGACTTGATACATTCTCAGACGTTTCGCCGGCATCGTAGTCGGCATCATCAGTT